AATTTAGATTTCAATAATTGAGAATCACCGTGTTTGTCAAAGGTTTTGAAATTTGCGGTGCATTTGGAATCTCGTTATAAAGAAGGGGTTGATACCTTTAAAAAGCTTCGTTATTAAAAAAAATCGTTGGAACAAAATTTAAAACCTTTGTGGCTATCAGAAACAGACGAAAAAATTTCTATACTAGCATTTATTCGTTATACTGTAATGAGATTCGTTGTGACTATATTCTATTAATGGATTTTATGGGTTTTCAAGATTTAATTTTCAACATACATATATTCCTCACAACTTACGGTTTTGAGGAAACCTGGATTTGACCCATAAAGAAATGTTACGAAGATTTGCCATTATTTCCATTAATTCTTGAATTTAAGCTCTAGGCGTCTAGGCTATCAACATTATTTTTGGCAATGCGAGTCATTATGCCCTTGACGCTCCACCACAAGTCTAACTGACTCAAAAGGTGCTATTTTTCCCTACAAATGGTTGGCAGCAGTTTGAGCAAATTTGAAAAGGGTTTGAGAATGACAGACACATCAGCACTCCGAGCTGTTCACCGAAGTCGACCTGAAGCTGAATTTATCCTTGTTATATGGCCTTAAACCTCGGGTGCGATATGTTGCATGAATCGCGAACTGCACGATTCCTGCAGTCCACAGTACCGCCAGGAACTTAAAACGTACCTTTGCTGAGTTCATTTAGCGGTGCCGACGCGCCTGCCAGTCGCGTTTTCAAGCAGTGAATTTTGCCGGAGGTGGCATTCATGGCGCCTACCTGTCGGTGATTCCCTCTGCTGGTGTGTTCAGTCTTCCGTACCGCTTAATCTCTTATCATTCTTTTTCTTTTTTTTCTTCGTACGGAAACCGACCTTCAACTTCGCTGTCGGTTAACGTACATCCGTCGCCGTCGCGGACATGAAGGGCGGATTACGTGGAAAAATTTTAGGAATGCCGAGCCCGCGGGACGATTTTGCATCGTCAAAATATTGAACCATAAATTTTCCGAGAATTTTGGATTAAATCTTTCGAGCAGACGAAATAATCGTCAACGCTTGGCTTCTCGATTTTCAATCTATCAAGCCCGTTATGTCCAGCAGGGTGGGCTTGGGAATCTTGGACAGATTTGTATAAGGACCTAATGAAAAAACAGCAAAAAAGTTGAACTTATGCTCAAATAATACAGTAGTTGAAAGTGGATAATTTTTTTGACTTCATAGTGGTACAAGATTATGATTGCTATTGCTAGTGAAAGAATCACTGCATCCAAAAAGTTCCAAAAGGGCGAAAAACTTATACTGTACGTATCAACTCCAGAGAGAGTTAATCATGGAAAGTTTGCTATTCAGCATACGCTTTGAAACCCGTGACCATGTATTTCGTTTGATGTTTCTTGTACTTGTTGTTTTTTTATATTTCGGATCATTCTATATTACGGAGAGTGCCTGCTTCAAAAACCAATTCGAAACTGTGCGTTATCCTATTAAATTCCAAGCATTCTCACCTGTGTGCCGAAGAAGGAAGGAAAAAACTTCCTGGATCAGATTACAGCTGAGCTGACCAGTCAAATTTATTTTCCAAGATTTTGTACTTTATGTAGCGTTCGAAGTCGTATACAGTTCATCACTATAATTCAGTGTATGAAGATTTCCGTTTAAAAAAGAGCGGTCTAATTTCACGGTTAAAATTTGAGTGCTTTTCTCCCATTAACGACCGACTCGTACACGTATTCCTTGGAGGTGACACTGGAAGCGTCGTGAACGCGGAAGTTTAAAAAAAAAACCCTCCAAGTGGCCACGATTTTCTTAGGAACCATCATTTCCTTTGAGTCACACTCGCTTATCATGAAGCAATCATGGAATTTTATCCGTGACTCACCATATGAATAGCTTTTAATAAAATAATAATAATACTGTCGAATACCCGTTTTATCGCTTGATCATAAGCTGTCTGGAGCTTGCAGACGATGCGAGCCATTGCAAATAATTATGGTAAACCTTGTTTTGAGGATAATTTTAAAAAACCAGGGATTTGAAGGAACAAATTACTGTACCATATTTTTAGCATTTTGCCATAGTAGAAATATGGTAATTTGTTCCTTCAAATCCCTGGTCTTTTAAAATCATCCTCAAACAAAGGTTTCCGAATTTTTACGAACCGACCACCATAGTTGATGTGGGTGGTCTTCAGAGCGCAATTCTGATTCTCAACTTGATTCGCTTCAAGGGCGCGGATTTCAGCTACCTGACAAAGTTACACCAAGAATTCGAGTCACATCCACATTACATCAAGGGAGACGACCGCAGGAATTGGGAAAGCGAGTTTGGCATTTGTCATTATGCTGGGCAAGTTACGTACAACATAAATGGGTTTGTCGACAAGAATCGGGATACTCAGCAAGATGTCCTATTCGACTTCATGACCCGTTCGACCAACGAATTCATTCAAGAGCTTACAGAATTTCAGGTGATTTATTCCTGCGACGTCAGTGTGTAAAGTTCTTGAAAAAAAATAAGTCTTTTTTTTTCTTCCACGTCCCGGAATTTTCAGGATCTTTTGATGTGCAAGCTTTCCCGAATGAACGCTGCTTCCAGTACCTTGCAACGTGCTGCGACGATGAAGTGCAAACCCACTGTGGCAGATGCCTTCCGATATCAACTCCAGGCTCTGGTGAACGTCCTGCAGTCTACGAACCCCTGGTGAGAGGAACATTGATCATACTGACAACCGCACAGCGGTTGGTTTCCAGAAACAGGGAACGTTATGCATGATTATATTGAATGCATCTGTCAAACTTTTATTAGAAAAAGAGTTCTCATTGCTCTCAATTTTCTACCTATTTTCATGCCCAGGAATATGAGTACCGACGAGGATTGGTTCTTAGATTTTGCTAGTCGTTTTCTTTCCTTTTGATTCTTGCATTAATGGACGGAACCTTCCGCAAATTGTACAGGGCCTTTTTTTAATGTTTCCTGAAATCTGCTCCAATTTTTTGCTCACCCAGTCCTAAATTTACCGAGTTAAAGTTGACCCCGTCACTGGAGGTAAACAGGGTTCACCCTTTATTCTGGGTTGATTCGGGAATTTTCAGTCCGTCAAAAAGAAATTAACGCATTCGATGTTGTCGAATACGTTATCAGTAAAAATGTTTAAGATTCGGAAGCTGTGCTCCATCGAAAAAGTCCTGATACTGGCAGATTATCTGTCGAAGATTCGTGAGGCTTGACTCAATTGTCAATTCAGTTGATTTGTTATTACTGTACTAAATTTTCGGCGAGCGAGACGTTCCGAAGTCAGGAACGCGATTGAAGGAAACTCTTGTTTTCTTTGATTCTTGTTATTGATTCAATGCCATGTTTCCGAGGATTTTCAAGCATAAATTTGGATACCGAGAGAATTTCATTTCCGATTGCTGACCGCAAATATTGAAACATTCCATTAATTCATTTCACTCAATTACGCATCAAGAAACAAGGGAAGTTCTGTGTAACGTATGTAGATCTCCAGATTACTAAATGCGGGACCTTTTATGAACCGTCTCTGTAGTTGATGCAGGATATCGGACTGAAATTGTCACGTGTACTGAATTGAATGTTTAAATCGTGTTGCCGATTGAACCGTTGATTATGTTTCGTTCAACTCATTATTATTGCTGCCGAGCGGCACACGTGCTCATTTCTTCACGAATGAAAGCTTTCAATCAGCTGCAGAAATCCCTGAGTGAACGAGTACACGTCATGTCTTGCGCAGGTACGTGCGCTGCATCAAGCCGAACATGAATAAAGCCGCGGACAACTTCGACTCCGAGTTCGTGCTGGACCAGCTAAAGTACCTGGGGATGTGCGAAATTATAAGGATTCGCAAGCACGGATATCCAATACACATGCCCGTGGCGGATTTCGTGCACCGATACCGTTGTTTGTTGCTGCGTGACAAGATTCGTGTTCCGTCAGACCCAAAAGAGGCCGTCTCGTAAGTACTTTATTTTTTTTTATATCTCGGGTCTTCGGGACAGTTGCCCTTCGTTTTCTCAATCTTGGGTCACCTCGGAACGTATTTTTCCCGTCTCCTGAATAATTGCTGGTCTCCGGGACGGAATTCCGACTAAATCGGATTGCCTGCCCGGTGGGTTTTCCACTGGGAACGACTCCATTAGCGGGTGGTTCTTCCCTCATATTATAACCCATTTTCCTCTAATGAAAACCGGTCTCTGCGGCATTATATTACGCGAACAAGATTGCCTGTTCCTGACGCAAATGCCACGATGCTTGATTACTGATCACGAGACATCATTGACCGGCCCAGTTGTGCGTACAATTACGGTATTATTATTACCGTACTTATTGTTATTACCGTACTTCTTATTATTACCATATTTTTATCAAAGCTCTTTCCCTCGCTTATCAAAGCCATGCTTTACTGCGGACCAAAAAAGATTTCGCTACGGAGAGAATTTCTTTACAAATAATCTGCGTATGTGATAATATATGCGATAATTCGATGGGGCCAGAAAATCTGCTCTTTTGGCATTAAAAGTATTCCGGATACGAAAAACAAACACGCGTTTTGCTTCACTAGACACAATTGATGGAAAAGGCTCTTGAAAAAGAAGCTCGAAGTAGCCCGTTTGGAAAATAGACTATATGGTTAATCTTTAATTTTTTTTCACTTCACGTAAATGGTGGTAGCTCAATTTTTTCAAGAGATATCAAAATTTCCGAATTTTTATCGCTGTGGACAGAATCGTTGCTGAGAGAGTACTATTCATGGAAGTTAATCTTTCCACTGTTCAGTGTCTCGTCGTGTCGAGTATTTTACGAACTAATTTACGGTTACAAGTCGAATCAGAGCGAAAACCGGCTCGCAAGGAACCGTTGCATGTAATACATAGGCAACATTGTAAAGTCTTGAAATCGTCTATTCGGAGTCTGTCTGTGCTTGATCACTGATTCAAGAGCGATCATCGACAGATTGATCGCAAAAAATATTCCGGCGCCAAAAATGGAATGGCAAATGGGCACGACGAAAGTGTTCATGCGGAGCCGCATTCACGAGCCTCTGGAGGAAAAACGCAAGAACCTGATCGAAAGCTCTTCCATTCAAATTCAAAAAATTTGGAAGGGCACTCGAGTGCGACAAGAGTTCTTGAGGAAACGCCGAGCTGTCGCCAAAATCCAAGCCACTTATCGGAGCATGAAGCAGCGTTTGTTGTTCAATCGCATGCGTAGAGCTGCTATCACGATCCAATCCGGAGTTCGCGGGATGTTTGCCCGAGAGGTGAGTAAATCGGAAATTTTAACCTTTTAATGAATCCTGACTAACCACGTAAATTGAAGAAATGTTCCATTTCCGCGTGAGTATTTTTTCGAAAATTCGTGGTCAGCCCCGCGTGAAGTCATCAGCTGTGATCCGTGCATCTGCCCGAATATAATATTACCTGATATTTGTGATTCTAAGAGGAATCCACACTTGATAAGAATCGGTTGATATTGAAAAAAAATCTCACAGATCCAATACACTATACAGTGGGGCCCCAAGATGCAGACATAATTTCCGTACTTATCGATCTGTGTTCTTATGTCGCAATGACCACGCTTTGGACGACCTTTCCCCATGGACTTCAATATAAACATTCTAGTCGCTTCTCATGGTTAACAAACAATTAGTAAAATTATTGTACTCCAGAAAGTCAATAAAATGTTTTTTCTTAGCATTAAAATACATGAAACACATTATGTGCTTTTTTGGCTTGAAGAGCATTCCGGCAGGCAAGAAAAACAAGCATGCTTTTTGCTTCATTGTGTACAATTGACTGAAAACCCCCTTAAAAAAGAAACAAAAAATAGCCCGTTTTGGGAAATAGATGATGAATTTTTACAAACATTTTGACTTGATGTCAAAATAGGTAGCTCAATTTCTTTAAGAGATGTCAAAATTTTCGTTTTCTTTTCATCTGTTAAAAATGTTGGCTGTAAATTATTCTTTTTACCTGCAAACTAGGCAAAAGAGCAATGTCAGAAGTGACGTCTTCTTCTGTTCGTCTGACCCAAAGAAATCGTGAGGCAAATTTTGGGGGTAAAGAGTCTGAATGATAGGAAAAAATTCGGCATATGTCGAAGTACGTGTGCAGAGAACCTATGGATTCGAAATACCCAGGTCTCATTCGGCTAGAAGCTGCTTGGAGGTCTACATCTGAAAACAAATGCAGCATTCTTATATCCATTTTTCTTCGTGTCGACGCGAAACTGCATACAGTATTCAAAAAGTTGGGCACTTTTTAATTTCATTCACTGCACACTTTGAAATTATGGGTTTGGAGAAGCGATTAATTTTTCAGTGTCAACTATAATACTGTACTTGTTTTCTAAGCTAGATACAATATATCATCGAACTACTACTATATTTTCCTTGCAATTTACTCCAAATACTGTAGTAATTTTTTGGGTCGCTGATCTCCGTGACATTCTGCTTTATACCTCTCGCATAGGTCGCTGGAGCATTACGTGAAATGCGACGTGTCGAGGAAGAACAAGTCCGTCGAGAAAAGCTGGAAGAGGAGCGAAAACAACGCGAAAATAAACCAAAGCCCGAAAGGCAAGAAAGTGCCACTGATGCCGATGAGACCCTCAGCGAGTGCAGTGACGATTCCTACTTGTCGCTTACGGGGCAGACGGAGCGGTAAGTACCAGTAATCAGCTCTAGGGCTTATCTATCATTCGCCAATCAATTCCTCAAGCAGAACGATCATACTAACGAGAAAGCGGATTTAGCAGGAGTGTTTCTTACGGAGGGTAGTACTGAAGTTTCCGCGGCGCGGTGGAGCTAAAATTTTTTGATACATGGCGGTTGAAGTTCATTTCCGGGGGCAAGCGTTCACTTTTTCTTATGTTTTAACCTTCCTCAATTTTTAAATCTATTGCATTTTAAAAGAATTCTTCGAAGATTTTTTGGATACTTTTGAATGCTATGTTTTTTTCTGATCTGCCATTTTGGAAAGGGACCAAAATAAGGAATTTTCGAGAACAAGAGGTGGCTTAATTTTCAAGGGGTTTACTCTAATTTTATCCGATTAAATATCCCTCGGAAGCCGAGATCTCTCCCGGAGAGATTTTTTCCATACCTCCCCTCGCAGTTTGTTGTTGAAAAAATCACAGTAAAACGGTTTAACTTATTGCTTCCCAAAAATTTTCTTCAAGAAAGAATCACTCAGAAGTTATTCCGGAATCGAGGAAAAACGATAAAAGTCATCTTCATTCTATGGTATTGTTTCCGAAAGCATTAGGTGATATTTGATCAGTTCTTCTTGTAATTGGCTGCCCAACCCTTGAAAAAGTAGTGCAGTATTGTATTTTTCACCTGAGACTGACTAAAATTAACTAAGTCGACTGTTTCATTTCTGAAGCACTATATACTTTCCACCGACTTGAATTTAAATGCAGAGAAGCGCCGCCGCCAGAATTCACTTTTGTATTTATTATACCAAAATGTTCCCTTTAGAAATTGGATACGTCTATATACGTCCACTTGAGCGCTTCGATTGTTCAGTTTTATAGATTGGGGGGGGGGGGGCAGTCTTAAAATCTCTCCTTCAAATTTATGTTTCCGCCTGGGGGAAAAAATATTTTTTAAATCGCGGGAAAGTAGGTGAAGTGTGCAAAATTGCTACCATTTCTGAAGAATACGAATTTGGTGACAGAAAGTGCCCGAGTACCAAAACTTATGGACCATCCATCGTATATAACGACGATTTTTCGCGCCGGGTACTTTCGTATGAAGTTTCTTGAATCGCGTACTTAGCTGAAACCTTACTTGTGTTCGGTGATCGGATAATCAGGCTCCGCAATCTCGGGCACCGCGATTCGAGGCAATTATTATACAATCTGATGCGATTGTAGCTCAAGGCACGAGCACCGACGTGAAAAGCGAAGTTTCCAGCACGTCTCCACATTTTATTAACTTTTTTAGTCCTCAAGAAGAACTGGACGCGGTCAACAACATTACGACGCAGTTGAACCGAGCAAATATTGTAACTGCGGCGTCAAGCTCCCAGGCAGTGAAACCTGGGGTGGAAAAATCTTCAGTAGCCACTGAGGCTCCAGCCCACCCAGAAGTCGATCTTGACAATTTGTTCGATTTCCTCGCGAAAATGCAAGACAACAACGCGAAGAAAAAACAACTTGATGTGCTATCGGAACTCGACGACATCGGTCGCGAGGTTTCGTCTCTCGCCAGCGGAATCCAACAGAGGGTGAGCGAAATTCCTTCGACAAGAATCTTGTTCCTCATCACCTTTTATCACTGCTTTGTCTTGCTGAGCCTGCATTTTCTGCGACTGTTCTGTTGTGAATACCGCAATTCCACGAATCCAAGATCATACAAAGATATCTGAAGATGGGGAAACATGCAAAGCTACAGCTAGTGTACCACGTTAAAGACGGGGGCGGAGCGGCGACACAGAGATAATTTCTATTCTTCATTTTTTTTAATATTTTTAGATTTTTCATCAGATTAAAAAATGTTCTTTTGTCTCTATTTCCGCGATGTTTGCTGACCGATGACGGAAGTTACTGGTATTCTTGGTTGTGTGTAGTGTACGAAATAAATAAGGGCTAGATACACGCGGGAAACACCTGCATTTGGCTTTTGTATATCCCAGAGAATATTCCAGAAAAAATACTCTTTTCGAAGGTAGGGACTAAGAATGTTATGCAACTGATGCAAGAACTGAAACGGATTTTGCGCCATATTCGCTCGTAAAACTGACACTAAATGTTTTCCTGTAATACAGTATCTAATTTTTCGAATTTTCCTTGTTTTTATCGAAGAATTGCAAAGATAAGTAAAATACCGACCATTTCGTCGGTATTTTTTTCGTCGATTTTGAACATTGACGGTGATCAAAATTTTTGCGGTGGACCCGTTTTTTTCCAATTCTATTTCTGAAGAATGGCTCGGGCAATTATTTTTTAAAAACGAAGAAGTACATTCCAACGAACAGTACAGTTACCTTCGAAAAGAAAAACTAATTGATGAAAAGGTATCTTTTCTCTGCAAATTTTACGTTGACGACGGCAAGATCTGTTTTACTGCAGTTGCGGGGCATATCCGCGCTTGAAACTGTGAGGTATAAAATAAAATTGTAAAAAATGGCCGAGGCCAAAATGCACATTTCTGGGCAGAATATTGAAAAAAATATATTGCGAGGACATTGGAAGGCGCCAAGAGCAAGAACAGCCTTGAAACACGAGCAAGACGTTACGTCACCAGAGGAATTGCTTCATATTATTCTTCATGGAAGTCTCGAATCAGCTATCCGCAAAAGCATCCTTCACGTTGAATACTACAGTATGCAATGAAACGCCGCTATGTTTTGGCTGCTTTTAAGCCAGTGGATCTTGAAATTTAATCAACCAAGCATAACAAATTTCCGGAGTTGCTCTTTAAGATGGATCTTGTAACTCTTCAGCAAAGTTTAAGTACAATTGAAGTCTGTTGATGCGGGCTAATGCCCGGATACTCCCCGGGAGGAATAAAAATCGCGAAGGAAAAAGGGATTTCGGAAACCTTATCTTCTCAGCAATCTGAAAGCATTTCCTCGACATTTCCCTGCATGAGCAATAAATTCTTTAGACCCCCCCCCCCTCCCAATTCAACTAAGTCTCACAAATATTTCGAAAATTCCGAAGAAATTCAGACGGAAAATCCCATTCAAAAAACGAGATTCAAGGATGCCCTACTGAATGCGGGGAAAACCAGAGTACGACTGAGCTTATTCATAGATATTCGAGAAGGGTTGTCTTTACAGCTAATGTATGAGGTTTTATTTATTTATTATTACTATTTTTTGCTGCGTATATGACATGACACATAAGTGCGAATGATGATTTCGAATAGCAGAGAAAGCAATTCGTCACCGTTTGGAATATATTTGCGTCTCAAAAATAGGTTCACGATGAGATTCCCCATATCAGGCGTGTAATGAGGGTCGCCAGAAATATTCAAGGTATGGAAGAAAATACAGTAGAGATAAAATCTTTTTCTCGATAAATTACAATAATAATTCAAATTTGCAATCAATGGAAACTGTCTTCTCATTGAGGTAATGTTCAATGGAATGTCGCTCAGTTAGGTTTGGCGCCCGTTCGACCCAGTGCCGCCTTTGATATTTGGAGTGCGGCTAATGTGCAGTAATTCACAGATTATCGTAGCGTAATTTTTATATCTCAGCGGGATAAAAGTCTGCCGTTTGAAATTACAGCTGGATATACACGAGAACAAAATGAAGGAAGAAGCGAAGCCGAACAGTCGCCCGCGTTCCATGCACTTGCCACCGCCGGATTTCCCTCCTCCGCCGCCACCACCACCGGCTTCGACAGACTCTCGCGGCGACGCTGACGAAGAATCCACGTACGCCGAAAGCCTCCCCACCACGGATTCCATGAGCACCACGACATCCGCGTCGACGGAAATGCCTGCTCCTCCATCGCCGCCACCGTTGCCGCAACCGAACATGGACGAACATATGGACGCCGCGGCGCAGGCTGATGACAAGGACATCTCGCCACCGGAGGAATTCCGCAACAAGGAGTTGAATGAAGACCCCCGACGTCGCAGCTTCCAAGAGGGGAAAAAGTTGACATCGGGTCGTGAGAACCATTACGCGTCTGTCGCTGTTCAGCCCAGACCTGGGGCCCCGCAACCTTCGGCTAACCCGAATCAAATCCGCAGCCCGTCGCCCGGGAAAGTTGAAGACATGCGGGCGCGTTCACGGTCACCTTATTCCAGGTATAGTACTCAACATTGAGCTGCATCCAGCGCGTGCTGCGCATTTCATTTAAATTTGTTTCATAAACGCCCGACAGATTTTGGGATCCCTGGAGAAAATAATTCTGAATAACAGGAGATATTTCTTGTTTTCCTTAAAGGCAACAGCAGCAGCAAATGATGAGAAATGGATCAACGGTTTCTGTCGCATCATCTGTGGTAAGAGGGATATTCACTCCATCTGCGTTAGATTCCCTCATCCTTCCATACAACAATAACGACTGGTATTACAGTTCGTATAGGTTTGGAGAGAAGTTTGCGAACGCACCCTTGATTATTTTATGAATTATAGTTTTCGCTAGTAGTGAGGATACGGGGAAGCCCTAAGATTTATCAAATATCCGTCTGCATCATTTCCTTTTCATCCCGTAAATTATTTATGTTTAAATTTTTGATTTTCCTCAGCTGCACTGTGTTCTTGAATTATTCAACACCGAGAAAAATTATACATTTCCTTCTCAGCATTACTATTTTTCAAATTAAAAATTAACTTGAAGATTTTTGTTCTTCGATCTTTATTTTTTGCTCACTATGCTATTTAATGCTTGCTGATCTCGAGATAGTTTTCATAAATAGCATAAACCGCTTCCTGTTGCAGAATTTTTTTAGCGATAAAACGAGAGATGAAGACGAATTATTATTTTTTTTGGAAATCAAGCCCAATATCAAAATTATTCAGGCAATGTTAAATGTATGCACGAAAAGTCGTTATAGATATTTAGAACATCTGCCATTTCGACGGAAAATTAGTGGTAGATACTGCAATGAAGTGTTCGGGGCCACGCTAGTGACTTGGGGAAAGCAAATTTAGTTTGACCCCAAAACCGGAACCTCCGGAAGAATTTTTGTTTAGTCACCGTCTTGAGGTTTCTCGTGGAAATTATATTCTCGAGACTTCCCCAAGTTCCAGACATTCCCCCTTCAAGCCTCTGTGACTCAAATTTTCCGTAAATCTTCGGCTATCATTCTGGGCACCCAGGAAAGCGAAAAAGAATAAAAATGAAACTTGATTCTTCTGAAAAGGAAGTTACGACTAATTGGGTGAATGTACCTTGCCTCAAATTCCGATTTCTGTTACCTCATAGACGAAGCAGTTTAAGGCCGTGAAGATCAATAAATTTCAACTTCCTGTATTGATTAATTATTTTTCCCCTGCGAAAGCGCTGGTTTCCTCATCCCAAAACCTCCTCAAGTCAAAGGTTTTGCGCTCCTCTTGGAGTTTTACGGAAAGAGGTGCGACTACTGTATTAGATGCCACGCCAGAAATACTACAGATCTATATCCCAATATTTTTCGAAGGCGAGCAGCAACTTCGCATCGATAAAACGGCAAGGATCAGACAGTTGCGTTAATAATTTTCTTGCGTGAAGGAAGTTTTTCTATCGCTGACCCTTGCGAAGCAGGACATTCGTGTGTACTGCGTAATCCGTAGCTTAGCATCAGATTAATCTGCACGCCAAAAAATCGTTGCGTAGGGAGGACAGTCGACCCACTCTTGGAAATTCACTCCGGGCGGCGACTTGCCGGTGCCGCCCGGGGCGGCGCTTCCGCCGGGCATGTTGCAGACGATGCCGGAAGAATCGGACCGGGAACTGAAACGTCGACTGCGAATCGAACGTCGCATTCAAGAGCTCGGGGAAAAAGAAGAATCCCGGAACACGGTCGTGGAACCCGAGACGGACGAGCACTACGATATCATCGAATTCGCGGAAAAATACTTCAACAATCACGAGAAGTATCCGGATGGTGAGTCACGCGATGGCTTTCTTTTCCGCACCTGCCTCATGAGTCATGACGTCATTTTTCTTTCCCTCTCGGAATACAACAGGTACCATCGTGGCTACTCTGACCCGGCGCAAGGGAACGACGACGAACGTGGATTACATCCCCAAGTACGAAATGGTGACTTATACCAAAGGCTATTCGATACCTACGTCTCACATTCAGATGTTCGACCCAGACAACATCACTACCGCTTGCAATACCTTCCGGGTAAGTCACAAATATTTCCACTATCACAAGAAAAAAAAAACGAAGTATGAGATTTATTTTCAAAGTTGTGCTGAAGCATTCTCGGTGGATTTAATCACGGGCAATTACTGTACCGTATTTACTGGAGTACCACGGTCCTCGAGTAAGACGCGTACCAGGGGTTTTCAGTCACATTTTTCTCCAAGTAAAATTCTATCCCGAAGTAAAACGCGCACCCAATTTTTATTGATTCTAAAACTGCAAGTTTTCGAAAGGAATAACGTCCATTTTAGATTTAGACATGGTTTTATTCTTATTTTAATTAATTTCAATACAGTAAGTTTTTCTATTGAAATTTGTCCAAAATTTTCCATGATAGATTGAAATATAATTCACTCCTAAACCTTTAAAATGTATTACCGTCTATTGCGCTCACCCCATTTTTCTCTTTCGATTTTGCGAAGAAAAGTGCGCGTGGTACGCAGAGTGAATACCGCATTTGTTATGCACGCGGTGATTCACGCGCGACTCGATGATTCAAAAGAAGAAAAAAAACGGGAATATTTCGGGAAAGTTCGAACCCACATGATTATGTAACCAGAGTCCACGGAAATTGGGACAATGTTAAAGAAAAGATAAAATTCTGTCCTCACCGGGGTGAATTAGATTTATTAGGAGTCTCCAATGCCTGCTATGAGAGGAAACGGAAAAGGTTCGGCTTTTTTATGATGGGACTATTCTTCGTGGCTGGCGCCACGGAAATGACAGGAAATTAGTGGCATCTTCCCGACGATTATTGTTTGAGGTAGAAAGGAGACTCGGGATGCAAGTGGTGGTATTCTCAGGGGAGGGATCTATATCGACTGTAACATTAGCAGTGGATATGCAGCAGTTTATTCACATCGGGATTTTCCTTTATGCGGTCAACAATTTATCCTTGCTTTCATCATTCCCTGCGAACACCTCGTCGTTATTGGGATGCCTGGATTTCCCCTCTTCTTTCTTTCGCATTAGCTCCATTTCACGCAAATTACAGAATATACTGTAATGGGCTGATAAATTACCGAAGTATTCATAGTTTTGTAGATCCGGTTGCTCTTGCCGGCGTTCGTAGCAACATTTTCAATAGTTCAGAGAATTTTGCGTCATTTAAATTCGTGCTGAATTTTGATTGTGCTGAGTACCGCTGCTGGAATAAAAGAAATTTTCGATTTCCGTAAAAATAGACGCATAGAGTGATTCGCATCACTTTTGAATAATTTTTATTCATTACTTTTCGAATAATTATTCTTGAGGTTCTGCTGATGGGATTATTAATTTTTAAAATTCCACGGAAAGAAATAAATTTAGACTCTTGTGTAAAACTTCATTCTTTAATAAAGGAATTTACCTTTTCGTTCTTTTTCAGGATATTTGTCGCTACATGCGCGGCGAGCTCAAAGGGGAAAGCGAAATAGATGCGGTCCAAAGCATCGTTGGCTGCAGCATTGAGAGAGAAGAACTCCGTGACGAGGTGATTGCTGTGCTCTTTTTTTTCATTCATTGATATTTCGCTCGAACGCTTTTCCACTTTTAAAGGAATATTTTAATGTTGAAAGCATGATAATTTTTTATTCATTTGTTGAGTGATGTGCATAAATTTAATATTGTAGGTGATGATTCAGCTCATGCGGCAAATCACAAACAATCCTTCGCCGGAGTGGACGGAAAAGCTTTGGCTGCTCCTCGCCCTCTGTGTGGCAGCTTTTCATCCTTCAAAGACTCTCGCAAAGGTATTTTCTGGTATTCTGGACTAAATATTGGTCTCGCAGACTTCCTTCACATTCTGAGTTTTCATTCCACAGTATTTCATGAGCTTTCTGAAGAAAAACTTGCAGACGGAAGGGAAAATTCGGCAATATGTTCGATGGTGCATCGAAAACAGTCGTAGTACCAAAGCGTATTCGAGGAAAATGGCTCCTTCTTCTGTTGAAATCGCCGTAAGTATCCGATAAAGGGCTGAGCGCGATTCTTCATAGTGGTCTTCGTCTCAAAAATGAACCAAGAAGCATGGAAAATTTCTCGAAAATCTATAAGGAAGATTCTACCGCGCAGAAAGAAAAAATCCACTTAAATAACTGGGGCAGCTTTTATATGCGGATGAGCAATCTATGAATGGACGTCTGTGGGGGGCTTCATCCCAGAACTTTCAAGAAAAATCACTGAAGATTATGCTGCCCTCTTCTGTTTTAAACTAGATTATAAATCACACCAAAGAAATTGAAACTCGAATGTGTCCTTTCGACGTGCTGCATTTGATTATACAGGCCAGACTACAGTAAAAAATGTTTGGCATGTCTTCGAGATTATGTAGCATCACCAAGAACGAATGGGAATATGTCAGGAAAATTAGCAGTTTGTACTGCTGCAATGGCTAGATTTTTCTGAAAGAAATTTCCTATATTGATTTGGCTCTGTGGAATATCATATCGGATCACAGCATATTATCAGAGAGTGATGATGCTGCATTTATTGCGATCTTTAGTCGCGTCTGGTATATGCAATGATATTATCGTAAATATGATGTTATTTTTGAATTGCGTTAGTATACCGTTATTTTGGTATGCTTTACAGGCGATGAGGCGCTTGGGAACAGTCGTTTGCAGATTTTTCTTCATGGACGGTCGCACGAAGGCAATTGACTTGCATCCGTGCGACACAGCCCACGATGCAATGCGGAAACTTGCTGATAAACTCGGTTTGCATTCGTTAGATGGCTGGGCCATCTACCAGCAAAGCGAAGGCGGGGAGACGCACGTCAAGGCCCACGATTATCTCTATGACGTCATTGCGATGTGGGAATTGTAAGTGGACGCGAAGTAAGATTTTTTTTATGCGAAATGAAACAAAATCGATCGATTCATAGGAAAAATAACCCAGCTCCGGCCCCAAGTACAATTCCGACGTTAACCAAGCGACCGAAGCCAGTTGGACTCGTTGACAACCGTTTCATCTTCAGGAAACGGTTGTTCCGCAAAACTCGGGAAATTTCTCAGGATCCTGTAGAAATTAGCCTATTATTCTCCCAGGCTGTCTATGCAGTTGTGAAGGTAAACTTGGTGCAACTTTCCTGAGTTTCTCATTCTAGAAGCGATGATTTATCGTTTTCTGGGTCCGTTTCAGAGCGACGACTTCCCGGTGTCAGAAAAGGTTGCTCTTCAACTAGCAGGTCTTCAGGCTCAAGCTCACATGGGCGATCCCAGACCCGACCAAGGAGACCATCCTTACTCGGATCCATCTGCGTTTTTGCCGGAACGAATTTTAAAAACGAGACCACCTGTCCAATGGGTAATTATCCGAGTTCAACGGCTTTCAAATTACGACGTCCACAAAAAAAAAACAACTCCGGATTTTTTCACACTAGATTCAAGCTATCGTACAAGCCCATCACTTGTATGGAGCTGGAAAATCAGATCTGATCGCGAAAGTCTGGTATCTTTCATCCGTGATGCAGTATCCGTTGTGGGGATCAGTGCTTTTCCTTGTTTCCTACAAGGGATACTGGCCTTATGGTAAGCTTTTATCCCCTTCGAGATGTTTCAAAAATTGATTGATCGAATCCAGTATCCATAGCCAGCTTTTTTGCTAGAGGTCAGCACTGCTCTACATTTTTGTAATACTTTTTAAAATAAAAACGTATATTTACCCTAAAAACATTTTGCTTGCAATATTTTCTGTTTTACAAACTGTGGGGACCGCATCGTGAGCGCGCATGGTCGAATTGAACCTGTGACCTATATACAGTATTTGTTAAAATGAACAGATACATTTGGTTATTTTAGCTGCACATTTAGAGAAATAATAATACAAAAAGAGGAAGCATTAAAAAAAGTTCGCAAAAGAGCATTTATCTAAGAAAAAAATGACGGAACAGAAAGCATCAAAAGTTTGTTTGCCGAGGTCAACTTGGGTTTGGCTCCTAGCTTTGGTTATTTCAGGGAGGTGTTCGATTATTGATCCTGGTTATTTTTTTTTATGTTATTTTTTATCAATCTTTTGCTTACTGCTCTGTCTCTGAGACTTGCTGTTTTATCCTCTTATAAAGCCTGCCCCTCGTGTTATAAGCAGTGCTTGATTTCTCGTGGCTGAGCTAGCCTGATTAACCAAATGTAGGAATTTTGGACCGAATTCAAAAATAATTTGTATTTCTAGGAAACGAAATCCTGTTGGGGGTGAACTGTGATGGTCTGTCACTGATCAGGCCCGAAGACAAGTTCGTTATCTCCGAGTACCGTTACGAGGACATCGAATCTCTGTTTTTGGACCCGAGTGACAATTTCATCACGCTCAATTTATCGCGAGCAGGATCGGACGGGTCCCTCAAAAGTTTTGTATTCGAGACAAAGGACAAAGTGGAAATTGGCTCGCTAATTTCCTCGTACTATCCTCCCCTCTCGTCATGGGCTCGTGACTCGGACCTTCCGATCAGAAGAGTCAAACTAACCCCGGAAGACCGTGCCAGATTGTATTACAACGTCATCGCAGCCCGACGAGGGTTGGCGGAAAGTGAAACCCTGAAACGTCCCACTGACGAGTTGTCGTTCTTCCGGAACACGTTTAGGCGGTAAATCTCACAAAATTCGCAATTCTCAAGATATTTGAAACTCGAAACAATTGAATCCCTGAAAATCCAATTTTTGTTCTCTTGCCGTATTAACGTGGATACGATACGCGTCATTGATTTTATGTTCACCTGAATGTTTCAGCCCCGTAACCCGAGGAAAAGGTTTGCTGATAAATTTGAAGTGTTGTTTTTCAGTTCTGGAATTCAATTTCACGGAATCAAGCTTTTCTAATGAAAATATCTCTTAAAATATGATGTATCATCACGATGATGAACTTTAGGCTAGTGTTTATATAGGCAAATTTAACCTTGCTATAGCAATATTTTACATTCGAGAAATAGCTAAAAAGCGAAGGAAATAAAAACCGTTGTAGATAATCCTGAACTTCGGAAGGTTTCTGCTATTTGGTCCAGTTTACTCTTCCAACTCTCGGGTAGTGAAAGAAAGAGGCGCAATAACTTGAAAAGATATTCTAAATGTTCACGTTGTTCGATCACCCAAAAACCACTATTTTTTTTACCTAAGTGAGAGACAATGTTGATGACCTAACCTAATTTTGTGTTTGCTTAAAATCAAGAAACGTGAGGCTTGCAATTTTACCCAGTCTCACGTATATCCAAGTAAATACGGCGCTTCTTTATTTGAGTTGCCTATATATTTGCTTCAACTTTTTTCAGACTGAGCAAAGCGAAAGGCGATAAGTACAAACATCAAGAAGAATACGCAGGAGGGGACTGGTTAAAGTCGTTCCCGCATGGGTTCTGGGCCTTCAGCAGATATCCTTTGACTCAAAGCTTGATTCAGTTGGAGTCTGTTGAACAAGAAGAAGTTGCTATTCAAATGTCATCCCTTATCCTTGCTTACGCCGGAATCGCAAAGAATTCTGGTGAGTGGGAATCCGATGAAAAAATATATTTCTCATAAACCGAGAAAGCCATATCCATGAAAGACGCATCATTTGCAGCACCTGAGTCCAACTTCGCAACGGGAGGCGAAGGAGACCCAGCCCTGATCGCTCAATCAATTCTAGAAAAGGCCATGTCGAACCCCCGGTTGATGGACGAGCTGTATTGTCAGCTTATAAAACAGACGACAGACGGGCCTGACCCACCAGGTGGCAAAGTGGCCATCAGAATCTGGGCTTTGTTTGCCTTAGCCTGCTCAGTTGCCTTACCTTCGTTGAAGCTGCTCAGAAGATTGCTCAACGCCCATTTGAAAAAAACAGCTGCTGATTACGTCTCCGAAGAAGGAAACTTCGCTCGTTATGCCGAGAAGGTTTGTTGGATCTCTTCTTCCACTCGTTTGATACCCAAAACTGTCGGGAATTTTTTTTTAAATCTCATATACTTTTTGATGACTTACTTGTTTGTGATCGAAACAAATTCTCTACTTTTCTTTTGGGAAGTGAGGATATGCTGGTACGTACAAAAATCATCGCCTGAGAGCCCATGCATTCCATGTGCTGGTTTCTTGAGTTTCATGTGGTTGCGTTGAATTTTCCAGCCTTTAAAAGTTTGATTACTATCAATGCAAAAAAGTTGAAACGAATTTCTGGCTTTAATTTTCTGGAATTTTATAATTGCCCAACACCGCTTTTTCCTGTGCTTTGTTCTCTCCGTTCAAATTTGTGCTATCAAATTTCTGCTGCACTTTTATGCATGAATGAAAGCATTTAAAAATGTATTGCTTTTAATCCGCCTAATACCGTTTTGACGAATTTTGAAGTTCACCATGCTCAATCAAACGAGCCCATTCATAAGTAAAAGTTTGGTCAATCCAATTACAGTTTCCTTTTGGTCAGTCATATTTAAATCTAAAAATATCGTAAGATTTCTGATCAATCGCGGTCAGTTCCGTTTTATAGAACATTAATTATTATTCTATGGGAAAAAAGTGTGAAAAGTTTTGCGCTTCCGGCATTTTGTATTTTACCTGTAATCGACGAATTTTTGTGGATGCAAACGCTTCATATTCAGCCTTTGACTTCATTAAAAAAACTAGCTTTATGCTGTGCTTTTTTAAATTTAAATTCGATAAGAAATACCGTTTTAGGATTCAGCGTTACTCATTATCATTCATTTTTGCAGTGCATGCACAGAACTGCAGAATCTCGACAGAGGCAGTGGGCTCCTTCCCGACAGGAAATTCTCTGCACTCTCAGCAGGCGCCCGATTTACGCCAGATTTTACCTTATGGGCGGCAATTTCCACACAATCGAATTTGACCCGTCCGTCACTGCCGAGCAGATCCTCGATACGGTTCGCGAAAAAGTCGGATTGAAAGAAACGGCTACAGGTACGGTATATTGACGATCTGTAACAGACAACCTGCTTTTATTCGCGTCTGACGCAAAATTTCGTCTTTCTACATTCACAGGATTCGCTCTGTACGAAGTTTACGGTATTCAAGAGCGCAGCCTGCAGCGGGAAGAGAAACTTTCCGACATTTTGTCGAAGTGGGAGAAATTTAAAGCGTCTGCTTCTGGCAAGAAATCCGAAGCTGATCCTTATTTACTGTTCAAAGTACGATCCACTGACCTCATCGTAACATCGCGTTTAGCTGTATTTCTCTATATACACGTTATTTTCTCGCATGTCCGCAGAAACATTTGTTCCTGGAAGTCGACTTGCACGATTTGGTGGAACAAGAATTGCTGTATCATCAAACGTTGCACATGCTCCGCACGGATCGTCATCCCCTGACCCTGATGGAGGCGGTAAGTGTCTATGATTCGTATTAGAATAAGTTTAAATTTGTAAAATGTCGTATTTATGTGAAAAAAGTACCCGGTTCCTTTTATCGCGAAACATAAAAAATTTGCTGGAGGATATGTTGAAGGATCAGCAATTACACCTGTTCCACAGTACGTGAGAATCTCGGTTGTATGCGAGGATAATCATATGAAGTTCACAATAAATGGTCATGACAGCATTATCTCCTCTGACATAATGCGTAGTTATGACTTATAACTTTTCTGAAAAAGAATTCCCATTTTTTCAAACGCATAAAATTATCCGTGTAACAAGAACCATCAATACCATGTTTACTCGAGCACCACTTGTCTTCGAGTTCGAGACACACTTGAAATTTGTTTTGGTCAGGAATTTCCCCAAAACTGCATCCCTGCATATCAGATTTTGTTTGCTTGTTGGGTTTTAAAATCGATTTTCAAAAATGTTTTAAGTAGTAATGTACAGTAATAAGAAAAACAATCCTGTGAATAAATATAATACTGTATGATGAATTTAAACAGGATTGGTGCCAAATGTAATTTCATATTTTTTTATTTTCTCTTATGGCTCAGACCCCTGCTTTAAAGCGTTTTTTTTCGCTTAAAAAAATGTACCGTACTCCCGCATTCCACGTGCTCCCGACTTTTGAGCATTAATTTATTTTTCAGAAAGAGAGGGGTGAGTGCTGGTGTGTGCGTGAATACGGTACTCTCCAATATACTGTAGTTATATATTTCTTATTCTCCTATAAGAAAACTGTTGATGCCTACTTACCAAATTGCTGGTTTATTTCCACTTTGCTAAATTAACAACGGTATATGCTTCTAGGTGATGCTGTGCGCATTAGCAGCACAAGTAGAATGGGGCGACTGGAAAGTGAACCAAGATTACGATCGCCTCGTCGCACAAGTGCTGCCGACAAGGATAATGAAGCAGGCTGCCATTGATTCCAATACAGGCGGGAGCGTGCCTGAGCAAGTCAACATGCATCACCAGAGTCTGCAGGGAATGTCGGCTGCTCAAGCGAAAGAGGCCTTCCTTACACTCATTCAGAGTTGGTCGCTGTACCGTGCCACAATTTTCAACGTAACCGTAAGTAACGTTCTGTCAGTTTCTCAACCCGGAGACGGTTCCGAAAAGGTTCATTTCTGCTGAATAATGACGAGCTGATGAGCTTCAGATATTTTTGATACCCACGAGAGAGCTTGAATAGTGAGACCCCCAGATGCGGACGTAATTGGTGCATCAGGAGTATCCCTAAGTCAAAATATCCCCATGTCAAGTCTAGTTTTCCCATACACTTACATTATATAATTTTTAATTGGTTCATGGAAGAAATAACCTTCAGAATTCCATGAAAAAATTGCCGCTCAATGAGAACATTTGGAGCATTGAATAGTGTACCTCTGCACAGTACATTGAATTGTTGGCATCTGTAAAAATAACATTCAAGTCACAAAGAGAGAACAAAGTCTCTCTATGCTATAGGTAATTTTTTTAATTAGCCAAATGGATGGGAAAATGATGGAAGAAAAAGCAAATTATTTTTCTTGCATGGAAGGTTTTGAAATATCTGTATCTTGCAATTAAGCCTAAAAAAGTCAATTTTCCTGAAATTTATTGGCAATTTTATCATGCAATGTCTGTATGTCAAGTCAGTGTACATATGCTGGGCCTTTTTATTGAAAACATAAATGCCCCTTTGTCAAATTGTCTGCATGTCAAGGTGTCCACATGTTGGGAATTCAATGTATACATGTCATTTTATATTCTGTCTGAGAAGATGAGTGTGCATTCATTTACAGCTAGTATTATTTGACTATGCCATGCTACAGCAGTCAAACCTCTCAAAGTCAAATTTCAAGGGACCAGAACAAAATTGAGTTTTGAAGGTTTCTAGTTAGGGAAACAAGCATTTTTGTTATGGAAAATATTAAAGAATTGCAGGAAATTGTACATGCTGATATTCTGGACCTAAACTTCCTTTGTAAATGAGTTGATGGGATGCAAGCTTGAAGGCAAGGGTTCATTTGCCCAATTATTCCTTCACTTTCTTCCAAAACTCATTGGTATTTTTTATTGTTTCTTTCTTTGATGTGTCAAAAAAATAGCCGAAAGGTCTTAGAAGATTCGAGCTAAAAAGGTTTGAGAGGAAACGCCTTTGAGTTGGTAGAATTTTAATGCATTATTTCTAAGGAAATTCAGATGGGGACTTGAAACAAAATTTTAATTGGGGAGGTATTCGACTTGACGAGGTTCAAGTTATTGAGGTTCAACTATTTTGCTCTAGATTACTTGCTGTGATGCATGTTTTGCATTAGACGGGTTTTCCTCACATTTAACATGGCTTCCCGAAATTTCAGCAATGGTTCACATCGAATTGGCCACGTGAGCTTTGGCTGGCTGTCGATCCATCTGGTGTGCATTTACTGGAACCGCATGCCAGAAGTACGCTGTGCACGTATTCTTATGACTACATCGTCAACTACTCTCCGTCGATGAACTCGTTGATGATCATCACGGGAAGCTTGAGGAAGCAGAGCAAAATAATCCTGAATACCAACATGGTAATATTCTACTTTTTTATTTTTCTAAGAAAAAAGGCACCGAATTGGCGCACCGATACATTTTTCGAATGCAAAGCAGTTGAAGAATGTGTCGTTGTGATTAGATGCCATTTACTGTTTTTTTTCGTATTGATCGCAATTGTTTTTCTCCGAGTGCAGGTTTCAGTTTTACATTCTATGTGACCAATGCAAAGACGCTTCCAAGTATAACATAAAAAGTATGGAGAAATGAAGATGAAAATTAGGAATACCGGTACATTTAATCGACGATTAATATCCGACGCGAAATCGCATTTCATGAAGAAGAAGTCTTCATCATGGTCGTGTACTGCTTGCACACATGCTAACAGAGTGAGCCCTTGCTGTGAAGAAAATTTGTTTCTGCTCTGTACGTAACGCACTATAATTCGAGGTCGACCGAAACGCAACGCAATTCATCAGTCCTCAATGGTTCCGAATAGTCTGCAATATGACAATTCAGCGAGAAACCAGTGCATGAGAACATGTGGGTGAACTTGATACTTGTAACTTCATCCGTATGCTTCAATTGTAACTCGCTTCTCAAGGTTTCAACTGCAATTTATCCCACTCAGAAGTGAAATACAGTGAATGACTTTTGCTGTTGAACCAGGAGACAAAGGGAAATGTTAGGGCATACGTGGAAAAGAAACTGGATCCCTCACTCAAGTGTTCCTAATTTGTTTGCCTTTGAGGGAGGCATCAGCACTTTATAAACTGAGCTTTCTGCGTTTTTCGTTGTACAAGGCGTTCATTCTTTGTGGTTTGACTACAGTGGACATGTAGCATTAATTCCAAATACAGTAAAAAGTTAATTTTATGCGATTGCTGATAGCAGGGATGAGTAGGATGAAGACTGAGGTACAGTACCTCTATCAATCATCGGGAAAAATTACTTCTTCGCTGGCTTTTGAAAGGACAAAAACCCTTGGAATCCACTTCGTACAGTACTTATAAACAAGCATGAAATTTATAAACAAATATGTATAACCGGTATGCAAAAAAGGAAAATCTTCATTCATGAAGAAAGAGTTAAAACACAAGAAAAAATATGCGTGGGAAGTATGTGGCGTGAAGATAGAAGAATAAGCCAAGTGCAGTATTGCAAAAACGGCGTCGTTATTCTTATACTGCAATAGCTTTCAGTTCAGGTGTGATCATCTCCCGAGCCAAGACGCACAACACGATCAAAAAGCATGAACAAAATTGACTTAAAATCTTTCCTGCTAAAGTCAGGTAAGTGAGCGAAGTCAGGAGCAAACTCTGGGATCATTTGGTCTATAAATGATACCCACAGACTTCGAGTCGATCTTATCTGATTGGATTAAGAATCTCTTTGGGAAAAAACTTGGAATTCACTGATTGGACTGCAACAATATTCGTTTTTTTTTTTGCAGGCGTTTCAAATTGCTACGCTGATTCGCGACTACAGTGAGGCTCTGAGACCAGCGCCGGTTTACTTGGCGAACAATGGGGACCATCAACCGCGCGGCTCGAGAGTTCAATTCAATCTGCCAACGACGTCGAATGGAGCTGTGAGCATCCTACACAAACCCGTGCCACACATCGGGGACAACGAGTTGAATGTGGAGCCTTCGTCTTGAACACCTTCGCTACCAAACTTTTTGAGCGGTACCGCTTGAATCTGACATTTATCCTTGATTACCGTCGTTTTTGGGCACCTTATTGGTTGCCACCCATCGCAGCCGCGGCATTACGAACATCTTTTTTTTTACAGTTTTTATTCTGCTTGACAGTGATCTGGTTTTTTTTGCACGTATTTATTTGCGTTCGCGGAACCGCCAACCGAGTTTCTCGATCGGCGGATCCCAAGTGATCGGTTTAATTCCATGTTGTGATATCATAGTCCTTTGCGACCAGGTTTGTCTGTTTGTTTGCATTTTGTTCTTCAAGACGTCGGGTTCCATGACTATAGAAAAGCGTGATGATGATTAAAATTTGTGTTTTATCATCACTTGGGGCCTTCTGTGGACGAATGTGACTCCCGTCTGGATGCACCAGAAACTTCCCGGCCACTGCCAAAAAAAACAAAAAAAAAGAAAGGATTTTCTTCTCCCGGCGAAACTGACGTCAGCGTCTTCTCAGCACGGGTTTTGATGGCTTTGCTAGCGTTAGAGTTCGATGGTCGGAGTTGCTTATGCGTAGATCGCTTTGCACTTACCTCGTGTTTAACCCGATCGAGTCTGAACTTGTTTTTTCGGGATCCGAGGGAAATAAGTTCTGTGAGTTCAGCTGCGATGGATTAGAACGGAAAAAGCTCGGCGATCTTCCGCGATTTGTCTCTACTTGTACTCTGATATATTTTCGAAGAAAACGCGTCGTGTTCCCTTTTTCAAACGGCGCGGGAAGAATGACGAATCCAACTCGGTTTCTCTCGTTGCGTTCGCTCACGTGTTCGTGATTCAAAGTTCAACTTCGATGGAAGAAATCTATCTGTTAAGGATTTTCCTATTTGTCTTTGGAAGGTTATGCGAGTGATTGCGTTCGCCGGATGAAAATGGTTTTTTATCACATGTACGCGATTATATGCTGTCGCTTCCGACGACCGATGAATTGGAATAAAAATACGGAATTCACATTTGAACTTTTTCTTGTTCATATAGCCATGACGAAGCTCTTTATACAAGTACAGTACGATAAGTTCTGATGTCGGGTTGCAGCTCATCAGAAAAAGATTGCCGGCTGTTATTTGAACATTGGAAAAATAATCTGACGCGTATTTTTCTTCCACTTTTTCAAGATACGAGGGCTGTCCCAGTTCGACGCGGCATGGGTGATGAAAAAAAGTCATGACGCAGCGCATAAAATGTTCGAGGTTCTGGGATTTTTTTGTGGATTCTTGAGAAAGGTTTATAAATTTACTAGATGTTCATGAGTGAAAACGTTCCAGTTATATGCAGCCAGAGTTCTCCACCCGTGTCACAGCTGGTGAAGCTAAACATTTGACAGGCTGACTAAACCATTTAAATTTGTTGTCTCAACCATCATTTAAAAAGTAGAAAAATAAACCAAACAAATTAAATGATTTTAGCTGGGCTTGCACATTTTTACTTTTGGTGAAGAACTGGAAAGTTTTCACTCATCAGGATGGAGTAAAAAAAACGTTCTTGAAAAAAGAATCCCATAACCTTAGAACATCTTGGGATATGTCATTCATTTTTGAAATCACAGTATAAAATAGTATCCACTGCAGTTTTTAAACCCACGGATTACAGTTTTTAAACCCACGGATTACAGTTTTTAAACCCTCGTACAGTATTCTACAGCGAAGCACCCGTGATTCAAAGATTAATTCATTCTATCGATGTCGGGTGATTTAGGGGCATCAACCTGCTGATGGAGACGGTTTTGGTAAGTCTTCTGAGACATCTGGTTGTTCCCAGCACGTTGTATAGCTATAGGGATCCTAAAGATAAATCCATGAAGTTGGCATTACGAATGAATGGAATCGTTCTGCTTTGACGACTACTGATATTTTACTGTACTACATCCATTATTTTACGGAATGTTTTCTTGTATAAGAAATGTAATCCGCAGACCTATATTTCCGGATAATATACACTTGTATATAGAGCATTGTTGCTCATATATACTGCCTGCGAACTCATAATCTCGGTGGAGGTCCCTTCCCGGTGAAATTCAAAGTAGAAACTCACTATTAAAAATACGTCTATACTGTACATTGAAAAAGAATTGAAAATTCAAAAAGAGAATTAAAAATGACAGGCAATCGGCTTCGAACGATTCTTATATCAAAATCATTCGACGCCGATCACCTGATACAAAATATCGTCGTATATAAATGACACAATATTAGAACATCTAGAATGATATATTATACGCGCGCATAACAATGTTCTGCGTCGTACTGACATTTCAGTCGGGTAATTTAAGGCGATAAAATCCATGAAGGTCTTGCAGAAGTCTCATCGCTGTCCGGGCGAAAATCAACCGCCAGAACTTTCGCACTATTTCTTTCAACTTGTTCGCCTTCATTCTCTGGAAGAAAGAACGCAGTTTTTCCGTTAGCCTCATCGTCATTATGCAGTATTCCGAGATCCCGAACAAAAAGGTTATGCAAATTTTTGGCTTCGCATTCGGTTATTTCCGCATCTTCCGGGAAGTGGCCCAGAACGGGATCGCTGCGGTAGAAAATGTCTGGATGACATGTGCGAGATCGTGTTCTGGCGTTTGCAACGGTGCGAAATCGCGAGCTCTGGACAGTGAATGCAGTTTGGTGAGCGAGATTTCTTGATTAAATCCATGCTTCGTAGCGCGTTTGAAAATTCAAAATCCAAGCAGAGTAAATAATAATTTCGGCATCGAATAGCCGAAACCTTCATTAATACAGTACACACATATACATAGACATAGAGGGTCACATTTTCTCAGCCTTATGGTGGACCATTATATTGAGGCCATGAAAATACATTTTCGTGCATCTCACTGTACTATAAATAAGTTCAGTCAACACTTGATTTAGTGCCCCCAATTTAGTGCCACACTTGGATAGTGCCACAAATTTCTGCGGAACAAAGCCCGAAGATGTGTTCTTTAGGGAAACCCCAATTAGTGCCAATTCACTGAGTGCCACAAAAATTGTCCTGCCTTTAATGAGAAATGGGCCAAAATCAGAGAAATCAGGGCATATTTCTAGGGATATTATCAGGCTATATTACTGAGAATCACATGCCTATGCTGAGGACAAGTAAAAAATAATATTTCTGAATTGACATGCAATTGGGTGGCTTAATTTGAATATCCTCCACCGTAAAGAACATCTAAAAAACAGGAAGTCTCTCTAAAAAATTTAAATCACTAATCCTGCTCTTGGAATTGTGTGCATTTATTGAAAGTTTAATCTGTATACGAAACTGCAAGAAACAGTTCCACACTGTTACTTGGCCCAGAATGTCAGAAATTTGATGTATTCTGTACTATAAAATAGATTTAAATGCTATAAAACAGATCATTCGACCATCAAATTATTTTTTCGTGGGTTTGTCTTTTATAAAACAGACTGGATGTCCTAACATTCTGCAAACAGTCAATTTTACCTATGCATTAGAAATCTTAAAATGCATTTTCTTTTCATACGATACCCCGATTTAGTGCCACCCCTGCTTAGTGTCACAAAATAAGCCAGGACAAACAATTGCCCTAAATCGGGGTTTGACTGCATTGTTTCACCTCGAAAATGCAGAACAAAAAATGACCAAAAACAATTTTCAACCGAGTGTTTTAGAATAAGCTCTTTCCTCGCAAACAGCCTCAGTTCATCTCACTGAAATTATTGACAGATAACTGGAAATGCGTCTAAATTCTAATATTGAAATCCTCTATTTAAGAATGGAAGGCATGAATTGATTCAAAGGTGGCGTGGATTGAACGCTTATTTGGGACTAAATTTATTCTCAGTCATCAGTGCAATTATGAATGCGAGAATCATATGAAATGTTAAAATATCATGTGGCTGCTGCCACCCTGCATTTACACGATCGAATATAGAATTTACTTCGATTTTTTTAATATACTAAGTTTCAGTTTTTTCAAATACAATATTTACGCGAATTAAGGCCACATAAGTATAAGGGTCGCACTCTAATTTTGGCCAGGCATTTGAGGAAGTAATGAATTGGCTACACAATTTGTAAATTTTGTAAAAAAAAAAAAACCCCAAAAAATCATGGTTTGTGGAAGTAAATTTCAAAATTCACAAAAAATGAAAAAAATTAAGACCGGAAAATGATTTTGAGGATTTGGATTAAGACATTAAGAGACAGCAAGGTGACATTTTGTGTTTAAATTGGTCTACGTATACGAAATATATGAATCCCAATGTAGGGTATTGCAGATTCCGAAACCTCGATAATAGGCCACGATGACGATGAAACAAGCTCGACTTGGGCTGAAATATTTACATAATACTGTAGCTAGCAAATCGCAATTGGAATTGGAGTGCCGTCTACCAAAAAAAGGGGGCCTATGATGGTCGGGTGTAGAATGGTTCAAGACCAGCTTTCTTTCTTTCGGGAGTACCTGGTGTATTTTTTCCCCTGGGAAGATTAATTTATTGATTGGGATGAAATAGTAAAGTAACGAAGAAACGAAGTAGTATAGTACAGTATAGTATAGCTGAAGCGAATATCGATTTGAATCCTTGAACAGGAGGATGTTCGTGCAAGTTTCGCTCGGTATGAAAGACTGCAGGAAAATATAGAGGAGCTGAAGCCGTGTCTTGACGAGTCTAACGTTGAGCCTCCGCGTGAATGGAATTTTATTATTCCGAAAGAGCAGCAGCCGAAGGCGGCTGATGAAGATGCGGATGTCCCTGATGATGCTGAGGATGCAGAGGCTGAGCTGCGAAAGGCGCTCAAGACAGCCATTTATTGCGAGCTGTCCACTGGCTTTCCTTAACCATCCTCGCCGTAATCTTCATTGGCGGTTAATAAATTTCTGCTCCTGTCAGCCATAGTTTTTTCTGACCATTATTTTCCTCTCATTCGCAATCCGAATCTTTCGTATTAAGCAGAATCTTGATTATCTGGTCGTTGGTCAGCCGAGCTCAAATCTCGAGTTGTTCCGGTAAAAGAGATATAGGTCTGTATATTTATCATGGTATTGTCTCAATTCCCCACGAATCAACTTCAATTTGACAGCGACAAATATTAAAAATGTGAATGGACCTGATATCAGACCGATAAGGAATATCACGAATATAAATATCCGATCTCGTGAGGATGGCAATCAGGGCCAAAGTTTTCCCGCTGATGGTGTCTTCACGTCAGGTAATTTTTGAAAAATGTACGCATCCTCCAGATATAGTATTGTTAGAATATTCCATTATAACTCTGATATTTGATTATTTGGGGCTGAGAATTCACTTCTCATGCATTATCGAAGTTTCCTTGCATCATACAAAAATTCCCTTTGCAGTTTTAAAATCTCGGAATAGAGGAACTTGACGCATGTTCCATATACTGTAGCTCAGTGACATAATTTTCAGTTTGGATCAATATTCAACAAAGGCATGTAAAACCGAATGACAAATTGCTTTCTTTCCTTGCGGGATTCTTCCAAAAATGACAACTTCGCACATCTCCCGCGACAAATTGCATTCGTCGCATGTAGTGAGGCCTTTAGGTGATGAAAATGAGCGGCTAGCGTTCAGGGCGACGATGATCCGATCAAATCGCGAGAAAAATAACGATGTTCTTCTGCGTCGGAAAACAATGAAGGGTGAGACTATTCCCGTTTTGCAGACCAGCCTTATTTGAAGAATATATCCCATTTACCAAATATCGGTTTGCATTTCTGGGAAAACAGCACGGTTGCGTCAGATGAAACAATTCGGAGGCTTCACGATCTGAGTGACAACCTTTGTGAAGCACACCGGACGAAAAGCGAGGAGCGACCCGCGCCTCCCACGCGCAGAAATTTTGAATGATGAATGACCCCTCGGCCAAAATTCCCCTTGGGTCGAACCCGCGGGTCCGCTGCACATTTTCATCAGATGTTCACCTGGGTATGTTGTTTCAGAAAAAAAAAGTTGCATTGGTGTACAGGGAGTTTGCTTCCCACGAA